TCAACCCTCACTTCCCCGGGTCGTGGTTCGCCTGCCTGGCACCGGACACCAGACACCCCTAAACCCAAATCCACAACGGTTGGATGAATGAATGGCCGCCCCCACTCTCCCCGACTCCCCTCAAATTAGGACACTGACCTGCTTCCAGGGCTTCCCAAGGTTTAGCTGGCGCGGCACTGCCGGGGTGGGGGGTGGGGGGGTGTTTAAAACCACCAGGGAAGCATCATGAACCCTTCCAGGCACGAAGGCAGCAGCCAATCAGCACCTTCAGGCACTGCTTCCACTTTAAAAATCCATGCAAGACCTTCAGAACGCAGGCTCACTCTGCATGTGGCTCTTCCCATAGACTGCTTATTTACAGAGCAAACCCCCCATTCTGCCAAGACAGACAATAATTACTCTCTCCGGGATTGCACAGCTACTCTCTTGCAATCGCTTTTGTTTGTTTGTTTTAACATAATTAAGTGCTTAACTCATAGCTCACCAAAGTACAAGAGCATAATTGCACATGCCACCCTCTGAAGATTTCTAACCAAACAAACTCCAATGTTCCCCCCTAGTGGGAAACACTAGTGATTTTTACTAAAGTGCTTTGATCATTAATTCAGAAATGCAAAAGTCCGAATGCCAAAACAGTATGACACAGCATTGTTATCACATGCCGAGAAGAAGAAATTCAAACACAGGCTTCACCCTCGCTTCTTGAACCAAGACTACTCACACTTGCCCCCTAGCTCATTCAAGTATTAAAATTCCACACAGAATATTAACTGGACTTGAAAGCTTCATTTGGTTTCTAACCCCTCCTTTTCTAGCATGCCCCAAACGGAGTCATCCTCCGTGTTGCTGTATGTTTTGGAGTCTGTGTTTGGTGGTGGGGGTGTAGCAGAATACTCTTTGGGCTGCTCACCGCAGGGGCAGGCGGCTGAGTAGGAGCCTTTCTCCTCCCATTCCGATGACAGCCTCGGAGCCCAGGGGCATAGCCCTCGGCTGCCTTCCAGGGAGTCCTGAGTCAGAAGCAACTCAGCAGCATTGCGTGTTCAGAGACTCACGATTCTGGAGATACCAGAAAATGATGAGGATACAGATCTCTCCTAAGCTTCTCTGCTGATCTGACCACCCTGATGCGGATGATCGCACAGTGCCCCACATCGATCACACTTCACCCGGTGGTCATTCATGCTCATTTGGCCCTTGGCAGGTGAAGGAGGAGAACGCAGAATGGAGGAAGCCAAGTGGGCCCTAATGCCAATACGGAAGTGAAGGGCAGAGGTTGGCTTGCCTGTGAGCTTGCCCACCCCACAACTTGTGCCTGGCTTTCATCATGCTGATTTTTTTCCTTTTTTTTCAGTTTACTTTAAATAAAACTTTAAAAAGTGCAAGGGGCATAGGGAAAACGCCACTAAATACAGAAATTCCTGGGGCGAGGCCCAGGCACTCAGGCAGGAGTCTGACCACTAAAAAGGCGGGGGAAAGAAGAAAAAACAAAGAGGAGGTGGAGAGTGTGGCAACAGGGCACTACCCCACCCATGGAGAGGGTGTTGTTTATGTCTCCACAGAAAAGGGAGAGAGGGACCAGACCTCAATCTGGTACCCCAAGCCTTGAGGGCAATATACTAACAAGATGCAGAGAACTAACAGAGAGGTCTGTGGGGTGGCCCCAATCCCAACTATGTCAATGCCCTCCCAGAAGAGTGCACTAGAGAGGACATCACTGAAGATACAGACCGGGGAGAGCGTTGGGTCTGCCCAAACCACAAGGGAGCAAACTAAGAGGGAAAGAACGAGAACGAGAGAGAATGAGACCCCACAACCTGGCCCACCAAGCCCCAAGGATGACCCTCCAGCTGACAGCAGCCAAGGCAGAGAGAGAACTGTAGACCCAGTCCCAGTGAAGTCCCCCACTGACCCACAGTGCTGCGGGAGCAGCACTGGAGACACAGTGGGGACTGTGGCTGGTCTGACAGCCCCACCCGGGCAGAACACGAAGGGAGCACAACAGAGCAGCAAGGAGAGCAGAGCAACGAAGTCCCCGAGGAATCCCGAAAATAGACCTCAGACTCAGAGGGCAGGACTTGGCACCTAATCAGACTCAATTGGAAAAGATACATAAGGGTCCGCAAACAGACCTAAAACTATTTATAGGCCCCTTTTGCCCCTTCTTTTTTTTTTCATGTCTATAAAAGATAGGCAAGATGTGGCTAAGGAGAAAACAACAGGACCAATGGTTCAGGAGGACAAGAGAGGGGAGGAGGTGGGGACAGAGGAGGGGGAGCCAAAAAACCTAGGGACAAGGGAACAACAAGAGATCTAAAATGGATGGTGAGGAGAGTGTAGAACGCATAGTGGGGTTTGATCAAGTGCATTGTAGCTGAGAGGATTTACTGAGAGTCGAATGAAGGTTGAACATGATAGTGGGGCAGGAGGAAAGTAAAAGGAAATAGGGGAAAGAACTAAGAAGCAAAAGACGTTTATAGATGTATAAATATAGGCATGTATATATGTAAATATATTAAAATATAACAATAGGGATATAGGTCTATGTGCATATGTTTATATGTTTAAGTATCAAGGTAGCAAATGGACATTGGGCCTCTACTCAAGTCCTCCCTCAACGCAAGAACACTTTGTTCTGATAACCTGGCATTCTGGGATGCTCAGCTTCCCGACATGATCTCCGAAGGAAGTTCTGGAAGAAACCTTTCCCACCTTAATGAGTGAGAATCAGGCACTCATACAGGCAGCAGAAAAGACATCAAAACTAAACCCCAAGAAGAACTCACCAAGATATATAGTAAAAATATCCAACTTTGAGGAAAAAGAGAAAATGTTAAGGGTAGCAAGAGAAAGGAAGACAGTCACATACAAAGGAGCTCAGGTAAGAATATGCTCAGACCTATCAGCAGATACCATGAAGAGGAGGAGAGAGTGGAGCAACATCTTCCAAAAGCCGAAAGAAAAAAAATGCCTCCCCAAGAATCCTTTACCCTGCCAAGTTATCCACTAAGATAGAAGGAGAGATAAGGGTCTTTCAGGACAAGGAATGACTCAAAGAATATGCTGTAAGACACCCTACCCGGTATCCAACCCCCAAATACCCATCCCTCTTGATATTAGGAAGTAAATTAGGAGTGATAACTTGGCACCATGTGGTTGTCCCAATTCCCAATACATTCTCACCATGGCTTGAGCATCTATTAATCCTTGCTTAACTATTCCACTTAGGGCTATAAAAGAATTATGTTTCTCAACTCTGTCATAATTTCTACATATATTGGCTTTTATTCTATCATACAGAATAGCTTCTTCTCCCCCCAACTCCTTTTTTTATTTGTACAATAATCAGTTTCCATTAGTCCTTTGCAGGTTCACATTGGCTCAAACTTGGGTAGGAGTATTCTAGTCCTTCAACCTGATTAGTATTGTCTTTTTGATAGATGGCCTTATTATAGTATTAATTTTCTTGCTTTCTTGTATCAAATTGCCCTAGATTTCCCTCCCAGTGGCTCTGCCCTAGTTCTGGAACCAACCACCTCTTCAAAGAGGGCAAAGTCTCTTTACATAGTGAGTAGCATTTAGAAACCAACTTGCTCCTTGAGTGCACAAGCCATTCTTATTAAATCAGTCAGTCTACCTTTTGGGTTTCGATCAGCTGGAAAAAAAAGAGAAAACATAGAGAGAATTACACTAACTGGTCTCTGATGTACATCTCAGACAATTCTGTGAAGTTCTCTGTGGAATGCCTACGGAGCCACATCATAGCTATTTC